GCGGACAGCCATCCGTCGCTGGACATCGGAGCTGGCCTCCGCAAGGGCGCAGCGGCACCCACATCGAGAACCTACTCCGAGCCACGATGAGCTGGACAGGTGGGGCCAGGCCACCCTGTCCCAGCTTCGCACCGGCTACTGCCCACTGGTGCGAGCCACAGCTCATCGCCTCGGCCTGGTCGAAGACCCGACCTGCCGAGCCTGCGGCGAGGAGGAGGAGGACGTGGAGCACCTCCTGGCCGGGTGCCCTGCACACGTGGCGGCGAGGGCCGGCTTCTGGGGGCACTGTCCGACCCTGGCGGAAGTGCTCTCGGGGCCGGCCCAACACATCATCAGTTATCTGAAGAGAGTGGGGCGGGTGCAGGTCGCCACCGACCCGCCCCCGCCGGCCGCGCCTTAAGGCGCGGTCCGCGACCGCGCAGAAGAAGAAGAAGGAGGAGGGGGAGGAGGAGCCGGACGGTCTCGGCTGCAGGAAGTCGCCGCCGCTCGCTCGGCGGCAGAGCCGGGCAGATTGGTGGGGTCGCTCGGACGCCGATCGGCTCACGGCGGCAATCGATGCTGCGTCTGTCCGACGGCCGACCGTACAAATCGGCCGGCACCAGCGGCCCATCGGCTGCGGCCACACCCGATCACCGGCGCCCAGTCGTAGCTGCAGCAGCGGTAAAAAGGCGGTGTGAGTCGTCCCGGCCCGAGTATCAGTTCACTGCTGGGCGGTCCGGGTCACCTGAGACGGCGGGCGTGTGTCATTAGTGGCTGGATTTGTGATAATTTGCGGCCGGCGCCGGCGGCAAATCAGCCTCGTCGCGACATGTCGGCGGCGACGCGGCGGTCTCGTTAGTGAGTGGACGTGGGCCGCCTCCGGGAGCGCCGCGCCGGCCCATTAGGTATGCACGCGCCGCCGCCGTTACCCTGACGAACTCGGCCGGCGCGGCCGCGCAGCACGAGTGCGGGCGGCTCCGTTAGCTCCGGGCGGCTCCGTCAGCTCCGGAGTGGCTCCCTGTAGCTCTGGGCGGCTCCTAGGTGACTCTGTCAGCTCCTGTCGGCTCCGGGTGACTGGAGTGGCTCCGGACAGCTCCGGGTAGCTCTGGACGGCTCCGGGGCGGCGGACGGGGTGCTGACGCCGCAGGTCTACTCTGCGTGACACTGGCCGCCTATTGGTGCAGCACAGGAGAGTTTCATTGACATTCAGGTCTCATCTTGCATCAATATACTTTTTAGTTGGTACGTACGTTTGCTGCTCGTTTTTTTCGCGGCGTTTCCGCTGCTTCCGCGTCACGGGACGAGACGCTGAGTTACATAGGCCGGTATCCGGCGGGACCGTCGGACGTCCCTGCTCGTATCCACCGGACGTCCCCGCTCGTATCCACCGGACGTCCCTGCTCGTATCCACCGGACGTCCCTGCTCGTGTTGGGCGGGCCCGTGACATTACTCAGCGGCTACCAATGCTGCTGGACCCTATGGACACTGAGCAACCAGCCCAACCTCGTCACGCAAACCTAGTGACGTCATGTTAGTACGACCGTTCGATCTTTGGAACAACGATTGACTGATTATCTTTTAAAATGGATTTATTACTTTCTCGTTTCTAAACAGAGCAATTCGATATAAACGGATGTATTTTATGTTGAAGCATGCACTTTTGAAGTCAATGAGTAAAAGGAAGAAAAATGAAGAATGAGAAAAAGAAGGTCGATGGCCACCAAATTATCAACAACAGAAGATCAAGTTGGTCATTTGCCGTATCTGATGAAGTGAACGTGGGAACAAAAAGGGTTAAAAATATTGCCTATGATCGAATCCAATAAACTCGATCACATTTACAAAAATATTCAATTATACTTTAGAAGATTGGACCATAATGTCGGGTGAAGGGAGTTCATCCGTTACGCAGATTGCCCGTCGCGATATCCAGGTATAGCTGACGGCCCACCTGCCGGTGGAACGGAGACCGGGCCGGCTGAATTAAGCGCCGTCCGACAGCCGCTCGCAGAGCTGATTACCTATCCCGGCGTGAGAGCGCCACCGGCGGCCGGCTCGTTATCCGGCCGAGCTCAGAAACGGCCGGCTCCTGTTAGGCACCGTGATTGAGCCCGACTGCAGGCACCCGAGTCAAACGCGCCGGCAATTTTAGCCCTGAAAGACGGGATCGACGCGATCTCAGGAGGTCTTTGATGTTCAAATGACTGTACTGTATAAATGGACTCTGGAAGAAATCGCAGGTACGGCCGGGAATGAGTTCATTCAGAGCTCGGACGCTGCACTGCACGGGCCGGGACCGGGCTGAGATTAGCGGCGAGTGGTGCAGCGGAGGTCAGTGCCGGGGGCTCGTAACTGACCGGAGTGCAGGGTTTGTGACACAGCGTGCGTACGCTCTCCCCGGAACGGCCCGCACTCCAAATTGATGAGCGTCTCTCTCAGCTCGGCCCGGGGTCGGTCCCAAAACAGATAAAGGCACCTCTGCGCCGGGGGCGGTGCTCGAACCAGAGACCAGTTAGGGCCGAATTTGGGGCCCAAGCACCGCTACCACCGAGTTTTATGAGCATTACCCAATTTTATTGGATAGTTAAGTAGAAATGGAGTGGAGACCTGCCTTCGTAAAACTTCCGTCTGCTCAAAACCGAATTGTACCGTATTGGAGAGTCGAATACGCTAATAGTCGAGTTATCTGGCTGAAGTATTCTCTTTTATATTAATTAATTTTTCAGCAAAGAAGCAAATACTGCAAACTAATCCTTGTTTTTATCTTGGCCTTCAGGTCGGAGTCATAGCAGCGCCCGTCGATACATTTACCCCTGACCTGAGTGCAGTATTTATCTAACATGGAGCTTAGCTAGACAGACGGTGTTTATACGTTTTTCTCGGACCGACCGTACCCTTCAAAGGCCAGCAAAAAGGTGCGTTCTCCAGTGGACACGCATTCGAGCGAGATTTAGACGACGCAGACACCATTCGACGTCACGTCTACATCGGTTCACCACTTAAAGCCGCCCGACGGCCGTATTTTTTCCGCCGTCCAGTCATGCAGTTTGCTCTGTTTACAGCGGCTTTTTCGGAGGGCGGTAATGGAGAACGGTTGTAGCACTCGGCACGGCGGCGCGGCGTGTCGTCCTCCGGGCGGCCCGCGCCCCGCGCCCGCTGCCTGTTGTCCGCGGCCGCGTCTTTCATCCGGTGTGTCTCTGTCGCCGGGCGCGCCGGTGTGGTGTCCAGAGGCGCTCCGGCCCCACGTGCCGACCGTGCCGTGCTGTGCCGTGCCGTGCCGCCCGTGCCGTGCCGTGCAGAGGAGCAGGTGACGGTGGCGGTCGAGGCGGACCGGCGGAGGGTGCTGACCCGACACTAGCGGCCCAGTGGGACCGACTGCGACACAACCCGGCCCGGTGGCCACTGACGGCGGTCCGGGATTCTCTGACGGGTCGACCGCTCCTGACAGCAGTCTGACGGTTGCGTGTCAGCCATATGACAGACGGCTGGTCGGGGGACTCGGCGGACAACTCGCTGTGGTTCGAAGAACGGGCTCATATAACGATGTGTTACGCTACTGACATTACTGATGATAACTCCGTATCCGGTATCAGACCTTACAAGTTTCCTTTTTTCATATAACATATTACTTCGTATTTAAAAATAGTTATATTGGCCTTGTTTACCCTTATTAAACTCAAGGGCATGCACGTTTTAAATGTTGAGCAGCATTGCCAGCTCGCGGCAACGTTGCAAACAAAAGACGGATACGGATGTGTTCGTGCGCTAGAAATAGCAAGCCTCATAAAGAATAATCAATAAAGCATTGCTTCACACGAATCGTGACGTATTTACACTTTACCATGATAATGTAGTTTAGTGTGACTTTTAGTGCATGCATAAAAAGTTAGTATTTAAACCATGTTGTTGATGTTGTCAGTTTTTAAATTGAAGCAAGCATGCTTTATTTTTGTCAAACAAAATATAGTGTCAGGTAGGTAGGTAGGTAGATCCCATTTGCCAGTATGCAGCATTCAGGATTCATTTATAATCTATAATGTAGGTACTGAAATACGTTTACAAAACATTTACAATTTATACAATATCCAATTCCATGCCTCATACCTTCCATACAATCTGAGGCCGGATCACAGCGATCTGCGACAGGACGTTTCCTGCAGGTGAGTATCTACAGGCATTGCCATGGAGCGCCATCAGATTAGGGCCTCTGTGGGCTGGTCGTGCCCGAAGTTTGTGCGCTATTCAGCTCGGTGATCTGATTAGTGCAGCCCCGCTCAAGCCGACCGATGTTGTGTCAGTCCGAGCTCAGAGTCAGGTGCGCTAATCATCAAACCGAGGTCACTGGTGCAGTCCACAGCGACCGAAGCTTGTATGGTTTTGGTGGGAGCTGGGACGGTGAACCATTAGTGATGTAAGATGCACTGTAGCAGCACAGAGCGCTACGCAGAGAGTGCAACGTAACGTGTCATCTAACTGCATACTGTCAGTGAGGGTGTCATCAACTGACGTAGGTACGGCAAATCAACCAAGAGGCTCATCCAATTCAGAGGAAGTGCACTAATCCAAATCTTGACTTTGCACAAACGGTTGCCCTCTACATCAGTGCATTTGAGAAATGATAACTTTTGCTGGAATCCGCTGTGGTTCGACTGGAATGTGACATCAAAGCACATTCAGACTGCTGGAACTCGCGGGTGAACTCAGGCCGGGTATATAACTTCCTGAATAGCACAGCCGCGAAAGGAGCCGTGTTTGTAGGCCTCGGATCGGAGGCCGGTGGGCATATGGTATAGAGCTTTGTTGTTGGGCGGACCGAGTAGCTGGCTGACAGTGCAGACTGGAGCTGCTTCGCATTTGCACGGCTGTCGCCTTTTGTTTTGGTCTCGACTCTGGGGCGTCAGCCGGCTCACACAGTGACTGGATGCTGGGCTGAGGCCTGGGCTTGTTTCGGTGGGGTGCTGTGGCTTGCTGGTTGCCTTGGCTGGGGTGCTGAGAGTGTCGGTAGCCAGGGGTGCTAGCAATGTCCACCCTCCGCAGCCGCACCCAGAGCCGCCGAGGTGGGGTGTCCTGTCCACCGGCGGCACCCAGAGCCGCCGCGGTGGCAGCATGACTCAGCGGTGACGTCGGCAGCGGCAGCCGAGGGGCGCGATGCGCCGCGCTCCATCTTTTTGTGCGACTCGCCCGATGATGAACGACGGGGCGGCTCCATCCGTCGTGTCGGCGCCGATGGTATCTCCGTCGGCCTCGACAAAGGGCGCATCGCGACTCCATTTGCGCCAATCGAGCCGCGCGCGCGGCGAGTGCCGCCGACACCATTAGACGAGTGGCCGGGAGGGCCGCTCGGCGGCACCCACTGCCCGATACAGACCGGCAGACCGGGCACATTTGAGACTCAGAGAGCCTGCAGAGTGGGACAGGAGGGTCTGAGAGGCGCTCGGATGAGTGGAAATGGGCGGACAAGAGAGGAAACGGTGACTAGAAAAGTGTGTAGAGGGATACGAGATAAAGTCGAATCGATACCATTCTCTTCGTTCTGCGGATCAACTTTTCGCGGTAAGGCAAAGCCACGTGTTATTGAAACACAGTGTAGGGGAAAATGCTGCTGAATGACTTTTTATGTTAATTTGTTGTCAAATCAATTTTTCAGTACAAATTTGACATCGTACACCAATATAAATAGCACCATTGTGTTCCTGAGCTCAAACTGCATCCAATAGACATGTTTTTTGTTGAAAAATTTCAGGTTTAAAATTTGACCTTTTTATCTGCAAGTGGCCTGACCTAAGCTAATTTCAACTTAAAAGGACCTTGAATGACAAAAACGACATCGGATTCAAAATCTATGACCTAAATGGACCATAAAACATGTGTCACGTGACCGACTTATGATATAAGATTTCCGTGACCTATGATGACCTGACCCTGACCTGAAAATCAAAGTACCTACAAGTTTGGTACCCTCAGGGTACCTATCTAAAGTATCTGTTCACGAGTGTGTAAACCAAAAATCAGCCTAATCTGACTTGTAAGACGGCAGCCAGAGCTCAAAAAGTGAACAAGCTAAATATCGATAATTTTTACCTTGACCTGACCTGTGACGTCATCGATAACCTGAAGGTAAATTAAATTAGGTTTCACTCGCCAGTTGTTCCGGGGCTATCAGACGCCGTTTGACTTTTGACGATCGGCCCAGTAGTTTTGGAATTAGGAGGGGGGCTATGAATAGCCCCCCCCCCCTCAGTAGGGCGCGTTATACACAGACCCCAGTGGGCGCGAGTTAAGTTCTTACAATTATTTTGCTTCCGACAACTGCCTTCCGTGCGGCTGCCATTTGAATCCAGCCGATCAGCCTCTCCGTTCTCCCTGAGCCCCTGCACACGGCGAACGGGGGCGGGCGGGGGCAAACGGGGGCGAACGGGGCAGCTCCTCCGCCGGCGCGGCGGAAGCGGCGTGGGCCGCTGCCGTCTGCGGCAGAAGCGGCGCGCTCAGAGCGGAGGGCAGCTGATTGAGTTAGCGCGGCTCCGAGCAGGCCGCCGCCGCTGAGCTGCGGCCTGGGTGTGTGAGTGCGGGTGGGCGGCCAGTGGTACTCCCGCGGCTTTATACCGCCAGTGGCTCCACAAACTGCTCAACAGACAACGTGAACCAAAATAGATGGCCTAAAATAAAACGGCGAGCCTTGAAACATCGGATCAGTCTGATCTTTGGGCCATCTCTCTCCGACTTAGTGAAGATTTCAACGCTTCTTTTTCATATTGCATGCGAATTTACAGGCGAGTTTTATTGCAAAGCCGCCTCTCTAAGCTGATAAACCCAACTGAAAGCTTCCATATTCAACAAAGGTTAAAATTTAGCAGACCTGGGCTTGGACGAAAAACGACAAGTGGAAACGCCACTCGCAGTCCATTTCACTACGAAGTTTGCCTACATAAAGCGTCCGAGTAATTTTCAGAACAAGTGGGCGTCATACACTTGTCGCCGCCCTAGTCTGCTTTCTCTGTAACGTCGACCATCACACGATGTCCGCCTACGCTCCTGAGCCTCATCTGCCGAAAATGGCTGTGTGACCGAGAATGAGCGCACTCTGTATTCATGGAAGACGAATTGCAGCGCAGCGGCGTCGGTCGCGGTTGGCGCGTCGGACGTCCGTCAGACCCCGGTCCGTCACGGGGGTGGCCGCACTCTGCTGTAGTGGTCGGCCGTACTGCTGGGTAGGACGGGCGCGCCGCCGTACTATGCTTTAGTGGTAGGACGGGCCTGCCGCCGCACTGCTGCAGTGGTCTGCCGTACCGCTGGGTAGGACGGGGACGCCGCGGTATCTGCACCCGTCTGCAGTGTGTCCCAGTACGGCCTAATGTCTCCTCAGGGCACTGTGGTGTGACGGCAGCAGCACACATTACACACACAGACACGGCACAGCGGCCCGCGCTGCCGGCGAGGTGCGAGGGTGAGCATACTGGCGGGGAAGGGTCGCGCCGACACCGACAGTGGTGTGGGAGGGTGGATGGTCGCGAGGGCGGCAGTTGAGGCATACTAACACACCAGGTTTACTCACCGTCATAAATGCTGGCTTATTTTCATATTCAACAGATCATTACGGGTATGATATTTATGCGACGTAATGCGGCTATATATTTTGCGTAATTCAAAAGTAAGGGATACCTAAGAATCAAACCGCCTTCCTAGCCTAGCAGCGAACAGACTAAAAAGCATGCAAGTTCCATTCATGTTGCTAGTTTATTGTTTGAAGAATAGCGGCTTTGTGGGCCTTCCACCAGCCGTCAGCCGATGTCCAGCACAGCCCGCCGCTCGTGCTCCAAGTGCACTTTGCTGCGCGGTGCAGCGGCGCCGAGGCTGCTCTATTAGCAGCTGAGTACACAGAACAATTCACATCTGGACAGGCCGTGCGTCTTACCAGAGCGCAGCGGCGGCCGCCAATTTATGAATGAGCGGCGCGGCCCGATAAATTCACCGCGCTGTTCGACTATCCGAGTGCGGCCGGCGTCGGACGGAGCCCACCGCGCTGGTGGTGTGTTTCCACCCTCCCACTCTAGCGGTGTGGGGCCGTCTCTCACCCACCCAGCCTGTCTGTGTTGGGCCGTCTCTCACTCACCTACCTATCAGTGTTGGGCCGTCTCTAACCCACCCAGCCTGTCGGTGTGGGGCCGTCTCTCACCTACCCAGCCTGTCGGCGAAGGGCCGTCTCTCACTCACCTACATATCAGTGTTGGGCCGTCTCTCAGCGCCCACCTGTCGGCTTGGATTCGTCCCTCACCCACTCTGTCAGCCTGTCAGGCAGTATCAGGCCGTCCTGACCGTCTCTCACCCATCCACTTGTCTGTGTTGGGTCGCCTTTCACCCACCTACCTGTCGGTGTGGACCGTCTCTTACCCACCCACCTGTCGGCTTGGGTTCGTCTCCCACCCTCCCGGTCTAGCTGCCGGGCCGCCCTGACTGTCTCCCAGTCCCACCCACCTGTCTGTCGGTGTGGCCCCCTGCCCCCCCCCCTCCCCATCGTAGTCTGTCGTAATTACTCCATTATCCAGCACTGGGCGGCGATGATTGCTGCGGCAGACGGTGGCAGCCGCCGGCCAGTATGCAGTATTCAGTGGAGGGCCGGCCGGCCGGCGCCCCGCGCCGCACGCGCGCCGCGACTCGTCTGCATTATTGAGCCGCGTCAAAACTGTCACCGCGTCATCATCGGAGCCGATGAATACAAATGATGGTAATTAGTGGCCCGGGGCGTGGCTGGCAACGGTGAGCGGCGCCGAGCCGGACAGGTGACGGCCGAGACACGACGGAGGGTATAGATCACACATGACAGAGAGAACACGGATTAGTGTCGATGGAATAGCTGACTCCCCTGGAGAGCAATAACAATGTTGTCTTTTTTGCTTTTTTGCTTTTTGTTTACTGTTTGAGAACAAGCTGTAGTTTACGGATTGCTTATAATTATTCACTCAATATACCCGCTATTTTTCATTTATATTTTCAGCTACTTTATTTACCTCGGGTATGGATGGGCACGTGTCTCAGACTACAGTCCGTATCTAACCCTTGTGCAAGATCTTTGTTATGGTTTTGAGCCTTTCCGTGCCCTCCCATGCTGACCTGACCGGCGGCACCTGAGGCCGCCCCTACTGACCTGACTTGACCTGACCTGACCTGACCGGCGGCACCTGAGGCCGCCCCGAGTATCAGCCGGTCCGGGGCGACAGCACCCGGCCACCGGCATTATCTGTCGCGCGGCGGGCCGGCGCCACCACCGGAACCCATTTGGACGAAATGGCCCGGTCCGGCTCTATCGGCGCGGTGCCGGAGAGTGGCTGATCGGCCGTTAGGAGCACCTGATCGGTGACGGCGCCGTGCGGATCACCTCCCCGGAGCGGGGGACGGGACCGTCCACCGGCACCAGCCATCTGGTGACCAGATGGATGGGTTGAAGAGCCCTCCGGAGATGCGCTGAACGGCGTCACTCCTATGGGAGTCGAGGGTGGAACGGAGTATTGCCGAGAGGTGTTCGGCTGGGCGACCACTGAGAGTATGCCCAGGGCTGGACCCCAATGGGTCGCCCCCCCCCCCCTCCCGAGGCAGCAGCTCGCGGATGAAGCTGTGAGCCGACCCACGTGTAAGATATGGGGTTGAATGCACACATCAGTGGCCGTTCCGGCGACAGTCAGTTCGGCTAATGCCCTCAGAGCCCAGAGGTGGGCACGTGCAGGGCCCAGAGGGACCTGGCGGCTCACACCTCTCGGCTGCCGTCACCTCTGCAGTGTCCGGCGGCTCACTCACACCTCTCGGCTGCCGTCAGCTCTGCACAGTGTCCGGGTTAGTTCACTCGCCACCTCGGTGGAGACCGACTCCCTGGGGGCGCTGCTGTGACCCGTGACCGGCCGCAGCACCTTCCGTTCAACAGACAGCTGAGGGCGCCACTCACCCCCGACACCGGGCCCGTCTTATAGGCATCACGTGACCGTCCGGGGTGTCACTTGACCCGCCGGTGACGGCGCCACCAGCCACTGGGCGTGGCGCAATAACACTGGAAACCGGAACACTTTGA